TTTTTCCAATTTTTTTTTTTTTTTTAAGTGTTTATTTTTTTCTTTTTTTTTTTCTTTTTTTTTTTTTTTTTAATGCTGCTTAAAGTTTCTAATGATTGGTTTTGTCTTTATGGAAGAAAGAAAAATTTTTACAAAAAAAAAAATATATATATATTCCATTAATATTTTTTCGTTAGTGGGCAAAAAAAAAAAAAATTTTTCCATTCAGAAAATCTGAACAGTAAAACAATCCGAGGGTTAAAAAACATTGTTTTGTTTTCAAAATGAAAATCCTTGTCGCTGATAACAGCAGCAATCAGCCATGGGGATTTAATTTTTTTTATCATTATTATTATTATTATTATTATGATTATGATAAGGTTAAGAATGGTTTAGTAATTCCTCTTTTTTCCGGGAAAAAAAACTTAAATTGTAGTTTTTAAACTCTCTTGTGAAACAAACATTTGGCAAAAAGGAAAACAAAATTTTTGGACTTGGGATAAAGAAAAGAAATGAAAAAAAGGAAAACTTAAATTTTAAACAGTGTGAAAATGTTACAAAAAGTGTCTTTAATTCTCTACAATTATGTATAATGCATCAGGTTAATGAGACTTTGGTTTATAGTATCCATTGTAGACTTATACCCTTATATAATAGATTTTAAGATTATTTTTATATATATATAAAGAAGGTAAAAACAAATTTTATGTGGCACAAAAAGGGAAAAAAAACAAAAAACAAAAAGAAAGTATGAAAGAAAAAAGAAAAAAGAATTTTATTAAATTTCTGTAAGAAATTTTTTCTTTTTCTTTTTTCCATTTTTTTTTTTTTTCTCGTTTTTCTTTTATTATTATTATTATTATTATTATTGTTTTTTTTTTTTTCGTGATGCCACAGTGAATTCAGTATCGTTATTATTATTATTATACGTAGAAGTTAGTGTTTCAAAATATGTATGTATTATTGATTGACCTTTGGGTAAAAAAAAAAAAAAAAAGAAAGAAAGGAAAAATAATCTAGTCACAGGTCATATGTTTTTTTTTTTTTATATAATAGGTAATTGAAAGAGTCAAATTTTCTAACTGCAAAAATCTTAACATTGTTATTATTATTATTATTATTTTTTTTGTATTGAATTCTCTCTCAGCTCATGTGTTTGCTGTGCACGTATGTATGTATGTGTATGTGTATGTATATATATTTTCTATTTTTCTTCTCTCTCAAATCAGTTTAATCTCAGATTTATTTAGTCACAAATTAATTAATTTAAACAAAGATAAAAAATCAGAAAAATTTTGTTATTTACCAAAAAAGGAAAAATTTGTAACCAAAATTAAATTTTTATGTTTTGATGATGAGTAAAATATTTGGCAAGAAATTATAAGAAAAAAGAAAAAAAAGAAAATTTTTTTAAAAATCAAATTACTTCTTATTTTAGTCGTTAATTTATTTTTATTTTATTATTATTATTATTATTATTATTAATAATATATTTTTTTATTATTATTTGTAAACAATCAGAAAATTTTTATGCATGAGAAAACAAACAACAAACAATACTTACCGTGTTAGTTTTTTTTTTTTTTTAATTAAAAAAATTGTTTTAGTCGATGTTGTAGTCGAAAAATTTTTTTTTAAACTAAAGAAAATGAAATCATTTTGTTCGTTCCTACATTTTAGTATTTTCTTTCTCTATCTTTTGTAAAAGAAAATGAGGAGGAAACGAAAGAGGAACGTTCAACGTGACAAAAGAAAATTTTTTTTTACAGAGGAGTATAATAATGAAGTAGTTAGTCTCTCATAAATAATTTAATTCGAATTAAATAATTCAAAACAGAAAAAAAATATATGTCAAATTGTTTGTTTGTTTGTTTACGTTTGTTTTAATAGTAAAAAAAAAAAAAAAAAAAAAGATTTCACGTTTTTTTTTTTTTTTTTTTTTTTTCGAGGCAAAGTTTATTGCCTCATCATCATCGTGTAAATCTTTTTTTTTTTTTTTTTTTTTTTTTTTTTTTTTAAACAATTCGAATTTTTGAATTGTTATTTTAAATATACGTCATTATTATTATTATTATTATTTAAAATCACACATGATACCATTTAATAATTATCTCGGTTTATTTATTATTAATAATCATCATTATTATTTTTTAAAAAAATAATATTAACGAATATATAAAATT